AATTATTGTAAAACTAGAAAGTAGAAAGCAATTTATAAATTGATATCTACGAATATTTTAATAGCTTATAATTCATTAAAATTATTGCATTCATTTAATTTTTTTCCAGAAATTTTTTTCACCACCAACTTTGCAAAGAAAAACGATGAAATAAGGCTAACGACCACTAACAAACCTGCACACTGCTGAAATTTTCCAATCATACATTGTCGAAATAATTTTATTATTTCGAGTTGAGAACTGAAAAAAAGCAAAAATTTGCATATTTTTACGCCCAATATGCTTTTAAAAAGTTAAAACGGAGAAATTCAGCGTCTCAAGTAATTTGAAATAATCTGCTAAGCAAATAATTTGCACACTAAAAATTTAAAGAAAAAAAATTAAATACAAAAGAAAGATTTAAAGCATATAGTTATGATCATTCTGTATTAATTTCTGTTTTGTGAATTTTCTTTTTTTTTGGTATTAAATCCTTTAAATATATTGGAGCATATACGTATACAATTTATAGAAATTCAGATTCTTTTTATTATGAGGAAGTTTTTCAAATGACGCAAATTTAAATTGATGTGGAGATTTTTTTCAACTTTTTTTTGGAAATTTTTTTTTGAATTTGGAAAATTTTGGAATTTTTTTTAAACATTGATCAATTTTGAATCTCAAAAGTTTTCGAAATATTTGATAATTATATATAAATTGTGAATTGAATTTAGTCACCGAATATTTGATATTTGCATTTTGATATAAATTGTAATGATAAATCGTGGAAGAAATTAATGATTTGACTTCAAAAGGTCACAAATCAGACTCAAATGTGAAAGAGTAAAAATTTGATTGCGAAAGATTTCAGTTTTTTTTTCATAAAAATTGATAATCACTATGATCACTTAGAAAATCATTCTGAAAGATCATTTATTTCTGGATCAATTTCACTTCCTCAAGATATATTCAGAAGTTATTTCGCTAATGACTATTTCAAAATTTTCTTCAACAAAAACTTCTTTTGTAAAATTACCATGTTTATCTAAATTTGAAATGTTCCTTTTTCCAATATGTTATCTTTTCGAAAAGTGATCGAAATTATAATAAAAATATTTTTTAAAAAAAAAGTGATGTTGAAATTTTTCCTATTTCAATTAGGCAAAACAAAATTTTTCCAGTCAATCTCAACGAATCTTCATATGGCATTTGAAAAATCAACAATTTTACTTCCTACCTGTTAACAAAATAACAGCCGCATCCATTGATATTTTCAAATCATCCATCTTATTTCAATTTTTCAACTCTTAAAGTGCAAGCAAAATAAGAAAAAGAGAAAAAGTATGATGCAATTAAATTGGTTTTGTTATAATAATTCTCAAAATTTATCATTTCAATAAGCTTTAGGAAAAAGAGACATTGAAATTAAAAAGCGTTTTTTTTTTTCATTATTGTAAAAAACACTCATTGCTACTATGATGCAGCTTATTTCTTTGCTATTGAAGATCGATGAGGACAGATTTCTATTTTGGCCAAGCGAGTGCATTACGAAATAAAATTGAAGCACTTGGCCAACACATTTTTTGTTTTTCACAAAGAATTGCATTTCGACAAACAAATAAAATCGAAGTATTTTATTTCCTCTTTTTTTTTGTTAATTTTTTCAAATTGCATTACAATTTTAATGGAATTTAGGGCAATTGAGGATAAATAAACTTCTTACCACGAAAGTGCCAGTATTTGAATTTAAATTTCAACATAAAAAAAAAGAGAAAACATTTTTTTTTCTACTTTTTAAGAAATGTTGATATTCAATTATTGGTGCGCTATTTTTTGCGCTCCATAAAATGAATGACATCATTACATCTGAACTTTTTTCTTCTCAATATCCAACAATCATTTCTAGTTTATTTATCAACATTTTTCTTAAAAAGTAGAAAAAATGTTTTCTTTTGAATATCAATAATTGATGTCAGAGTCATTATTTACACATTTCAGAGTTATTATTTAATCCATACGTGTACATGAATATATATCAATGGAATTTATTTAAAATTTATATCCAATTTTGGTTCACATTTTATATTCCATTGCCATCAGCAAATTTGTATTCAATTATTTTTTACATTCCAAATTTTGAACAGCAATTTTTTTTTTACATTTTGAATTTTGTATTCGAATTTTTTTCTCATTCTATGTTCATTTGCTATCAGTAAATTCGAATCAATTAAAATGTTAAATTTTATGTATAGCTAAGATATTTTTATTACGGATATATGCGATTAGTTTTTTGTTTGGGAATAAAATTGGAATGGATAAAATAGAATTGAATTAAGAGAGATAAAATGTCATAATTGGTTAGCTAGTCAGTTATTAGTCGGCAACTCTTTGCTATATTATACATATGTAATAGAAATTTAATGATTCAATTCAACATTAAAGTGAATTTACTCATTGATCATGGATTTATTGGAGGAATTTCATATAATTATTGCTTTATTTCAAATTATTTATTAAGCTATTAATTGAAATTTTCTAATATGGGTGTGAGATTACACAAATAATTCCCAAACTTTATTCGTAATTTTATATTTTAAATCAAAAAGAAAAAAAAAAGAAATGAATCATAAACAATTTCAAGTTTGAGAAAGTGTTGCAAAAGTATAGATTGATTTCTATAGAATTCATCTCTTAATTGAATCAATTCTGAAAATACTATATCAAAATTTTCAAAAAATCATTTGCCATTTTAGTTGATAAATATATGAAGTGAGATTGGATGAAAGAAATTTAGAAGTAATATGAAATATTTCCTACTTGACATTTGAACTGTTCCATTTCCAATGTATGCTTTTAAAACAGTAGAAAAATTTGAAGATTGAAAAGGTTTTTCTTCAAATGCGCTAAGTATTTTCTTTTTTTCTTTTAAATTATGACGGCATCTCTAAGAAAGTGACATTAGCAAGTAAGTCTGTCATATTGGCACTTCCAAAAATGTCCCAAAATGTAAGCATTAAACCAATTCAACTAGCTATCAAGCTGTCAACTATTCCAAATAACTTCATACTCTTTTTCTTTTTAATCATATTCCATTATACAGTCTCAAAATATATCATTCAAAAAAAAATTATTTATTTGTGCACTTACACATCAAATAGATAGCTTTTAAATAATATTGATAATTTTATTTTGTAATATATTATCACTGTATGCAACAAATGAATAAATATTTTTTATTTATAACTCTCTTAGAAGGAATTTTGGAAATTTAGAAACAATTATAAGAAAAGAAAGAAAAAATGAAAAAATTTCATTTCAACAGGCATACATTTCATCTTTTTCCAATGTATTTTTCTTCTTTCTTTCTTCTTTTTTCTCTTTTTAGGAAATGAAAACTTTAAAAAAATCTTAAGTTGGCAAGAATTGAATATGCTTATGATTAAAATTATCCAAGCAGTTTAAATTTCCTTCTTTTTTCAATAATTTATTTTTCTAGTTAAGTAGAAAAAGATAATTATTGTCAGTATCTTTGAGAATAAATAAATAAATGAGCAAAATTTGGGTGGGATTTAGTGAAAAGTGGACAATTGGAGAAAATCAAAGAACATTTGCACTTTTTTCTTCCTGATTATTTGTGCACTTTTTGTTTGCAACGAAAACGTCACATTTTTCGGGAACGAAAATAAAATGACAGATATCAATGCAACAAGGAAGTTTGAATGCAAATGTATCACAATGATAATGTGTTATTTCTGTGTTAATGTATTGCTTTTTCATTTTGTTTTTAAATGCATTTACTAAAATTGAATTGGTCGAGTTTTTTGTTTCGAATGGAATTAGCTGGATTATTGATCTAATTCGAACATTGTGATATTCATTTGCTGATCTATCGATGATAATAGATGATAGAACATTTGGATATAACAATTCGTTTTATTGATATCATTTTCTGCCTTATATAATTTAAAAATTTTAAATATTTTTGGTTAAGTAATAAATTTGCTGATAACACAACAAATTATAATGTTATCAACAGATTTATAACTTTTTTTGTTTCTGTTAATTCTATTTTACCATGTTTACCTCAAATTTATTTTTATCAAAATCTACAGTATGGCGACATACAAGGGGACAATTCAATTTTAAGCAAATGATCGTTAACTATTTTCAACAAATTATTGAGAATATCAAAATTTATTTTATTTTTTTTTGCTTCATTAAATGTTATTCAATTTTAATATTTATTTGAGGAAGAATAATTTGCATGCCAAATGAAGTACGCATTTGAAACTAACAATTATTTGATTACGCCAAATTTTACTCATTATTCAACATTTTTTTTTTAAAATTCCAAACAAAATTTTTGATAAGACATACAGCCTATTGTGCAGTTTCAGCTTTCATTTTAAGCTATTCATTTTTTTCAAATAATTAAATTTGTAATGAATAAATCTTGACTTTAGATCCTTTTATTGATGAAAAGCAATTTGTATTAGTTGTGTAGCAGTTTTATTTATTTTCAATTCTTGATATTTTCTTTAAGCTTATCATTTATCATCTTACCTTCATAAATCAGCTTGATTTCATCAAACCTTCACGATTTCGTTTCCAAAAGCAA